AGAACTTTCTTCTTCTTCTTCTTCTTCTTCTTCTTCTTCTTCTTCTTCTTCTTCTTCTTCTTCTTCTTCTTCTTTAGATGACATTAAAATAACATTTTTCTATAATAACCACGGTCACTACATAAAAGTTCATAAACTACAACATGGTCGCGTTCCCTATATAATGTATGATAAAATGGCGTCCCCTGTTTCAGACGCATACCCCCCCCCCTCCAACACACACATAAACAAACACACACAAACACACGTACACACACTCACGCACTCATGTACACGCACAAATACTCTTACTTACCAAGAAAAATCACATGCATCCTTCCAAGCCTTTCCGTACACACACACACACACACACACACACACACACACACACACACACACACACACACACATTCCTCATAGACAGGTTCATATACACACCAATCACCCCCCCCCCTCCTCCATATAAAACACCACACAACACGACATACATACACACAAAAACAACATCTTGGAACCGTAAAGTAGGCGGGACGAGACACTGACCTGTGGTCACTCTACTAAAGAGAGAAGGGCAAGGGACCAGCATCATCAGCCCTGGCGGGAGGGATTAGGCCAATCGGACAGGGCATATATCACGACAGCTTTGCGAGCGGTGACGATGCAGCGCTCTCACATTATTTATACTGATGGCTTTGAAACGTCCTCAGGTAAGCTGCTCCTCTTCCCGAATGTAGGTGAAGTGTTAACACAGAAAACGTACGGCTATTTTACGAAATAAGAACAATCCACTTAGCAGAAGGTAAATCTTTCACCGTTATTGGAATCTGCAGCCTTTGTGCTTTTCGAATGAAAATTAACTGTCCTTTTCTTTTTTGTTGTATAGCATAGCTACGTTCTGAAATCCCATCAGATGGGCGTCTGTGATGTAGGGGTTAGGCACTTTTCTGTCGCACCCAGGAGACCAGAGTTTGACTCCTGGAGGATTTTTAGAGAGTATCTCAGCCTTTCTGTGGTATCCATCTCATCCCGGGTTGGCCCTGACAGAGAGGGTCAAAGCTCACCTCCTAAATAATCTTAATTGGGTCGATGGGGACATAAAAACACCTACATTAAAAACAACAACATCAAAGGTAAATATTTCCAAAACAACAAAAATAGAATGTAAGAATATACCAGGGTCTGTGACATAATGGTTAGGCTCTTTGGCTGTTGTACGCTAAAGTCGTGAGTTTAATCCTGTGTAGAGGGTTTATTTTATGGAGTATCTTTGTGCCGTAGCAAACAATTATATTTATCCAGAAAGTGCGTTTTTCTTCCTTTTCCCCTGGCCCTGGATGTATCTTGTTCTTTTTCTTAAAAAAACAACAACAACCCCCCCCCCCCCCCATGAATTCATCAGCTCTTTAACTTCTTCTTACAGGCATTTGTTTCTATTCAATCACGGTACTTGAAGGGTTAAGTGTGCATGGCGTCAGCGACGGCAGACAAGAGAAATACATCCACGTTTAAGTAAAACTACTAGAACAGGACATGCTTGAGTCTGATCTTGATGGGGCAGGGTGAGAGAGAAAGATGTGCTGGTCTTTCAGAATCCCAGATTACATCATCATTAGGACGTACGTTTCCCGGTAAACTCTTCAACGTAGCAAGTCTTTTCCCTTGCGTAACGTTGCACGTGTCACGTAGGTTTCTTTATTTGGTTGTGAAAATGTTTTACGCTGTGTAGCCTGTCCGCATGCGGCGATACATTCGGTCCAGTGATGGCGAAAATATCAAGGGTTAACAATGACAGACGTAAAGTAAAAGCTGTGTCGCTATCGGAGCGGACCTGAAATGGTTAGACGCAGAGAATGGTTACGGTTCATCATGAACCGCGGAAAGGCTTCAAAGGCTTCATTGAGAAATAAGATTACACGCAGACTGATCAAGACGCACAAACTGTCCAGAGAGGCAGGCAGAAAGGCAGGTGCGCAAATCGTAAGAAATACAGTTACAGACAGACAGACACAATGATAGACAGATTGGAACCATTTAAGGCAGACTGTCAGACAGCAGAAATTAATTAAGAGGTTGTTTGGCTAGCCTAGTACATCATTGATGGCCTCGACGCATACTGCCATTGCCGTGGATTTATCAAATCTAAATGAGCCAGTTAGTATTGAGTAATGAAATTAAAGCAAAACCTTTGATTGAATGCTTAAAATTCATCCCACTCGTGACCTATGGCAGGTGAATAGCCGATCCATTGGCATCTGTCACTCCTGGAATAAATTCTAATAATACAATAAAAAGCTAAAGTTTATTTTCTCTTTACTGATCATTTAAACTGCTTGCAGGTTTTTGGTTTTGGTTTTGGTTTTTATTTTTGGCTCCAGGTCTTTAAAAGAATAACCCCCACCAAAACACCACCCCCCCAAAAAAAAAAATAAAAAAAATATAGCAACAAAAAACTAACTAAAACCGAAAAACAACAAAACAACACCCAACACTACGCAACATGCATTATCATTCAAGCAGTCCGCATTCCTCAACAAATCTGTTTCCACAAACGAATAGCCCCTGTAAGCAAATCGTTGTCGAATGTAAACAGATGCGGCCGCTGTTGAAAAGCTCTCAAAAGGGCATACAATTAATGAAATATACAATCGGAATTTTGTAGGCAGTAGAAAAGAACTCACAAAACAAAAGCCTCTAAGATCTCGCTTGTTCATGTTATCTTTCGAAATAGAAAGAAAACACCAAACTGTATATAACGTCTGTTCTGTCGCAATGACATGGTAAGCAAAGTTAAGTTAAGCG